TAGATAAGACAGTTACAGTACTGATGCGTATTGAAAGCGTATCCGCACGAACCAAAGTCCGCAGCCGCGGAGGTCGTCTTGCCTGACTGGCTGAGGGTGGGTAGCAGTCTCGTTTGACTCTCCTTCTCTGCGGACCACGCAACGACTCCATGAGCTCTGTTGTCACATCCAGCGAACGACAGCGAGCGACCCGGTGACATAGGTGACGGTCACCGACTGACTGTTGTGAGGACTGACGACGGGATGCTGAACAGCAGCGGCTCATGTGAGCGTTTTGTTTTTGTCAGAAAAATGCTATACTCGTTTTGCTTCTGCTTTTGCAGTTATCTGTTTGCCGAACGGTTGCAGGTTTTGTGTTTTTAGCGCGGGTCATCGCGTAACCTACCTGCGCCTTAGTTGTTTTCTCGTGTGTTATTTAATCACAGATGTGTTTCTCTCCATTCGCATAGTACGTGTGTATAGAATGCCGCCCAAAACATGCCGGTGTGCGCCTGGCTGGGCTGCGTCACCTTCCCCAGCCTGTGACCTGAGGCCGCCCCTCGGCCGGGCGGCCGACTCCGACGCTGATCGCGCCGCCGCCGCCGCCGCAGGTGTTCAGCCGCGAGCCCTCGCACGAGGACTTCTGCCTGGCGCACCTCTTCACCGACATCCGGTTCGACGGCGGTATCCTGGGGCTGGCGTACGTCGGCTCGCCGCGGCGCAACTCGGTCGGCGGCATCTGCACGCCCGGTACGAGGGCCAGTCGGCTGCCGTCGACCTTCCTCACGGGCGTGCGCTCTCGGCGCTCGGCCGGCGACGGATGTGACCGGCTTTTGGACGGGATTCGGGACCTTTTCTCACCTAGAGCACAGGGCCTCAGACCACAAAACATGGTCGCAGCTTCGTCTGGTCTATACAGGCTCCAGTGTCATGATCGCGTCCGCCTGTGCGCTTTGCATGTCTGCTTGGCAGTGGGTTGTCTTATGTAACTGCATTGACCTGGTAAGCCCGTGCTGCATTTGCTTGCCCCTGAAATGTTTTCTGCTGTTTCAGAATACTTTAAGAACGGCTTTACGCTGTACCTGAACTCGGGCCTGAGCTCGTCGCGGGAACCATTACGGCCAGCGGGTCATCACCCGGTCAGTCTGCCGCTGGCCGCCACCGTCACTGGACACGCCCCAGACTAATTGTACCGCATCATTGGGCTGGCGGTCACTGGGTCACGGGACTGTTCCTCCTTGTACAGCAGCTGGGTCCCACTGTCCTCCCTAAGCCCCCCCCCCCCGGTCCGCCCTTTTCCGGCGATCGGATGGGACCTGACCGATTGTGTCTGCCTGGTGTCTGCCTATGACTCGTCTCTGATGGTTGACCCGGTGACCTCCGTACAAAACCATGTCCCGGTAGTCAGTCAGTCAGTCAGTCAGTCAGTCGGTCAGTCGGTCAGTCAGTCAGTCAGTCAGTCAGTCAGTCAGTCAGTCAGTCAGTCCAGTCAGTCAGTCAGTCAGTCAGTCATCAGTCATCAGTCATCAGTCAGTCAGTCAGTCAGTCAGTCAGTCAGTCAGTCTCAGTCAGTCAGTCAGTCAGGCAGTCAGTCAGTCAGTCTATCGTTCCCCGTGCGCTCGGCCTGGCGACCACTGGGCCACGATGGGACGCCGTTGTCCGCGGCGGGGGCCGTGCTGAGCTGCATGACCTGGGACCCGTCCCCTCCGGCCGAACTCACCAGCAGCCATCTTGACCGACAGCGAGGCTGACCTGGTGACGGCCCACGAGTTCGGCCACAACTGGGGCAGTGAACATGACCCGGACCTGCCCGAGTGCTCGCCCAGCGCCAACAAGGGCGGCTCCTACCTCATGTACACATACTCCGTGTCCGGCTACGACCTCAACAACAAGGTGCGTACTTCTGCGATCGGCCGCATGCGCCGTTCTCTCGGTTGGGTTTCCTGATGTTTGCCATGTCTGGTGTGTGCGGTATCACCCGTCATGATGCTCTGGACATACACTCGGCCCTTTTTCTCTCTGGTCCTCGGCTCGTTTCCAAACCAACAGTGCTGCGTGATGTTGTGCGTGTCACACTGGCGTCAGGTGAACCATGTCTCGCGCTCCCGCGAATGTCCGACTCAGACTCGTGACCCGGCGGGCTAGAGTCAGACTCGCGACCCGGCGAGTCAGAGTCAGACTGGTGACCCGGCGAGTCAGAGTCAGACTGGTGACCCGGCGAGTCAGAGTCGGACTGGTGACCCAGCGAGTCAGACTCAGACTGGTGACCCGGTGAGTCAGCCAGACTCGTGGGTCGGAGAGTCAGAGTCAGACTCGTGACCGATGAGTCGGAGTCGGGCTCGTGCCCTCTCGCGCGCGCCGGCTCAGTGCTCGCCCGCCGCTCCCCCGGCAGCGCTTCTCGCCGTGCTCTCTGCGCTCCATCCGCGCCGTGCTGGTGGCCAAGTCCTCCCGCTGCTTCACCGAGCCGGAGGAGTCGTTCTGCGGCAACCTGCGCGTCGAGGGCGACGAGGAGTGCGACGCCGGCCTGGTGGGCTCCGAGGACGAGGACGCGTGCTGCGACAAAAACTGCCAGCTGCGCCGCAAGCGTGGCGCCGTCTGCAGCGACAAGAACTCGCCCTGCTGCAGCGCTGTCAGTACCTACAGATGGGCGTCAAGTGCCGGGACGCCAGCCTGCACACGTGCGAGATGGAGGCCAAGTGCAACGGTGAGGCGGGGAACACTGTCCAGGTAGCTCCACGGGCTGGGGTGAAAGGCTGCTGCAAACAATCTCCTGGTGAAGTGCTCATAAATGAATGAATGCTCAGGACAAAGTGTTGGGAGTGGTACCGATTAAACTTTTGGAGTGCGAAGTTAAGTCCTGTACTCAAGGTATTGCAGCCTACCCCGCGTCCTCATCTTAATTTAGGTTAAACAGGTTGTTTACTAACGCGGGCCCGATCGTCAGCGTGCCCGTGTGTGTGCGTGTATGAATCGGGTGCGTCAGTCACCAGCTCGACACCGTGCGCTTTTCTGAATAAGTCGTGGGCGGGTGTCATTGCAGCTCCTCGTGAACTGCCCGTGCGTCCGCGTCTGTACGTGTCTCCGGGGGGCACTCCCCGTAACGGTCGTGCGGCGCGGACGGCGCCGGGCGCGCGCGCGCCGACGCCCCCGCCCCCGCCCCCGCCCCGTCTCCGGCCGCGCACCCCGTCTCCCGAGGTGACTGTCGCCGCCGGCCGTGCGCAGGCGCGTCGGCCGAGTGTCCGCCGTCGGCGCCGATGGGCGACGACACCGAGTGCCAGGAGCACGGCGGCCGCTGCCGCGCCGGCAAGTGCGTGGCCTTCTGCGAACTGCAGGACCAGCACAGCTGCATGTGCGACGTCGAGGAGGACGCGTGCAACCTCTGCTGCCGCCGCTCGCTCAACGACACGTGCACGGCCCAGGAGCCGGTGCGCATGCTGTCCGGCGGCACGCCGTGCATGCACGGCTTCTGCACCAACACGGTGAGCGGGCAGGCCGGCCCTCGACGCGCCGCCGACCGGGGCCCGGCGCGGCTGTCGGCGGCGCGGCCGCGGCAAGGCACCGGGGTCAACGGGCGAGGAGTAGCGCATGGTTGCTGTGTGGCGGTCTTGTGTGGACCACCGGGTGAAACAGCTGGGTGTATCATCACCTCTTAACTATCAACGTATGTGTGTCCAGCACGTGTGAACTGAACGCCGGCTAACGTGGCACTGTGGTGACGTGGCGCTGTCAGAATGTGAAACACGATGTTTAACCTGTTGCAGGGTGTTTGCGAGAAAACTGTACAGGACGTGGTGGAGCGATTCTGGGATATCATCGAAGACATCAACATCAATAAGGTATACCGTTCAGTACCTTTCGTGAGTAAAGGGACTGTTTGCAGAATCTGCGCCTATTAGTGTAAAAATATGGTCACTGATGGCAACGGTTTGCCGTCAGTCGCTACCACAGGTCACTAGAAAAGTAATTCTTCGGTAATATACGTTGGAGCCAGTGGCCGGTTGACTCCCGTGACCCCCGACGTGTCGATCCCGTTGACTCCTGCGTTGCTGGTCTCCTTGGCATCAAAAGGCTGGCCCGCCTGCCGCCCGGTCCGAACCCCGACCGTGCTGTGGCCCTGACCGTGGTCCTGACAGCGACCACGGCCTGCACCGCAGGTACTGCGCTTCCTTCGCGACAACATCGTGGGCACCGTGCTGGTGATCAGCATCATCATCTGGGTGCCGGCCTCCTGCATCTTCAGCTATGTGGACGCCAAGCGACGGCGCGCCGAGGAGCAGGAGCTGGAGTGGCAGCGGCGCGATCAGCTGATCCGGCCGGGCGAGAGGCGCGTCGTCTACACGCGCCGCCGGCTGGCCGAGCGCGAGCGCGAGTACGGCGCCACGGCGCGGATGTAGGCCACCGGCGGCCGGGCGCGGAGGGCGCGCGCTCGGCGCCGAGCGAGGCCGACGGGTCCGCGCGCGCGACGGAGGGACGCGGCCGGGAGAAGCCCGGCGGCGGTGTGGAGCCGCCGGTAGGCCCGAGGGGGCGACGCCGCCTCCGCGTCGCGCCCGGAGGTGTGCGGGAGGGTGCCACAGTGGGCCCGGGAGGCAGCAGTGACACAGCGGCGATGGCGTGCAGTGCCGGACGCATGATTTTGGTCAGTTTTTTAGATACTCGTCTGTACTTTTGTGTGCGGAGGAAATGATGTGGGGGGGAGGGGGGGGGGGGGGGGGGGGTGGAGAGCGCTTGATGACCACAGCAATCGATTCGCCAAAGCTCCCCCGGCAGCATCGTGTATATGTATGCGCGCTTGCTGTGGCGCTGTGCCAGCCACTGTCTGCCAGAGGCGCTGACGACGGGTCTGTCGAAGATGCGTGAGTTTCAGTCGACCCAACCACGAGGCGCGACACCGGGTACGCTTCCGTCTGTATGTGGGTTTACTCAGCAAGCTTCCCCCCCCGCCGTGATTAGTGGACCTTCGCAGATGTTTTGCGTTGGCTCTTGTTGCCATTGTGAGCTGTTTGTGAGTTTACTCAGAAACCGTTACCCCCCGCCGTGATTAGTAGACCTTCGTAAGTGTTTCGCGCATGCTCATTTTATCATGAATTATTTCAGTGTTGCCTACCATGTGATACCATGGTTCGACGCACGGCGCTGACGAGGCTAAACGATATCGCAGTCACATACCAGCCGGCTTTGTGTTAGTTTTACGTATTGCTATTATGTTACCAAGCGGTGTGGTCGTTGTACCATTGTTAGGACGTTGTGTCACTGCGAGCGGCGGCGTGCTCGGCCCGGTCCCGCCCGAGCTACGCGGCACCGGTCGGCGCGACCGCCGTGGCGCCACGCCGGCGCTGCCATGAGCAGAGTGCGGCTGCGGCGCTCCCGGGCCGCGGCGCACGCCACCCAGGTGGACGTGATGCTTCAAAAGCCGTGGTGGGCTGCACAGCTAGTCAGCGTGCGCCGATATTGTAGTCAGGATTGGCGCGTCCGTGACATTTCGTCGTGCCGTTCACCGTTGTGGTTGTCGCTCGTGATCCACGTAGATTTGAGTCGCACGGCGCCGCATTTTACATGCGTCGCTGTAGTATATTACATTTTAAAACGCACGGCAGCACTCCGCAGTGGCGGGCGCCCTGCGTTCGCCGAGGTGTCTGCGCGTGTGGGTCTCGGCCGCTTGCTCGCGTTTGACGGCGGCGGTAGTGTTTGTCGGTGGTGTCCGCCCGCGAGCGCGTTTGGCGACCTGCGCCCGCGCCGCCGGCGGATGGGTGATCTCGCAGCCCGCTAGTCACGCGTGACCCCGCCGAGTGGCGCTCAATACAGACCGGTCGGTGCTGGACGCGTGAGTGTCGGCCCGGGAGCTGTAGATGGGGGCTCCGCGCGGCCCGCCGGTGCAGCTCCGGAGAAGCAGACGGGTAGAGACTGTCTGCCGCACAGGGTGAGGAGGGTGCGAATGCAGTCACGCGGACTCGTGTGACCATCGGACTCGTGTCGCCGGTGCAGCCCCGGAGAAGCTGACGAGCAGAGACTGTCTGCCGCACAGGGTGAGGAGGGTGCGAATGCAGTCACGCGGACTCGTGTGACCATCGGACTTCATGTTGTCGGCGCAGCGTTCTGTGCTGCTCCCAGCTGCACCGCCGGTTGGTGTTTCACCGCTCATGACGACCTTAGTGGTGGGAGAAACCCCATGGTATCTCCGGATATCATTGTCCGATCGCTGGCACTCAGTCCTTGATCGATAGCCCTTATCGATGTCACTCAGAACTCGTTGGGATGACAGCTATCACATTGCTAATGATGTGGTGAGGTCGCCAGAATGCCTTTAAAATCGTCAAAAGCCTAAAACAGCTGCAGGTCCCAGAGCTCACGTGATAAGGGTCGTTTAGTTTTGTGGGACAGCAAGAAAAAGTCTGCATCCTTGCGTGTACAAATCTCGTCATGATGTCAGCAATGATCAAGGTATTGTCTTGGTCATTTTCAGTAATGTCAAGTTTGAGTCGCCTAATGGGATGCTTTTATGCCCCTCCATACGCCATACCAAAGTCATTGGTCAGGAAGTCTGGATTGTACCGACTTAGCCAACTCTGTGGGCTGTGCCGACATGGATGGTGCCGTCTGTTATTTGTTACAAGCGCCCGCAGAAATCACTGGTTCCGGATCGCCCGCCCTCGCGCCAAGGACGTGGCCATAGAGGTTAGGGGGCACGGAAATCATGCCCAGCCTCGAAGCCTAGCTGTCAACAAGACTGATATGAAGCGATTTGGCAAGAATACGAAACAGTGATGCAGTGCATGAGCTGCTGGAGGAGCTGACCGAACAGGGCGTATGCGAGAGCATGCGTCTGCCCCCCCCCCCCCCGCCGTACTGGCCTGGGCCTCGGGCCCATCTCGAGGAGTCTGAGATGCCGAGTCAGCGCTCTACCACAGGGCAGCCTCCCTCCTTCCCAGCGCCGCCCCTCCTCAGGCCAGCCGCGTCCGGTGCGGCGTCCGATCGAGCCCGCACCGACTGACCCAGTTGAGGCGAACCCGGTGACTACCAGCCTCCCCGAGGGGAGGCCCGCTCCACCCGACACAGAGAGCCTCTCTCTCACCCCAGCACGTCGGTGTTGGTTTCCCCTACCCATACTGGCGTCGTAGGACGCCCCGACGTCTGACGCCTCGGCCGCCGGGCCCCGGCATCAGCCCACCCTCCGGGCCAGTCCCTCTTGCGATCAGCGAGCCTGACGCGTTACGCGCTCCCGCCGTCGCCCCGCCCCCTGACCGCCGTTTCATTGCCCCTCCGCGGGATGGTCTCCCTCCCCTCTCTAAAGGAGACCGCAAAATTTGGTAAATGCCTGCTGCGATGGAGTACACCTCTGGTATAAAATAAGTTATGATAAAAGCAGACCATTGAAAAACACCATTCAAGAGACCCTTTTTGGCGACTCAGATTTTTACAGTTGCTACGTGAATATAAACGGCTACTACCTTCATACAAATAACCCAGACGAAACCCGCACGGAGACCGTTCGGCTTTGTCCCAAATAACCTTTGCGTCATCAAGCTAAGCTCATTCCAACCTGCTGGCAGAGAACGTAGAATAAGCACAGTTAGATCTGATTCTTCTTTCTGTGCACTTCAGTCTCACGCTTCCTGTCCTCTCAGGCGATCTTTCTGCTTTACTCATGAGAATCCTGTCGCCTCGAACATGACACAACCAAAGGGGCACGTTCTTCATGCTCACGGACACTCCTGACCTCATATGCACCAACATACGCCCACACATGGCTCACACATACACATCACCACGGAAGCACAGTGACATGCTCTGTTCTAGATCTAACATTGGCAACACCACATATTGCATCACTTTGCACACAAGGGCCACCCTGGCCCGCTTTTTAGTGACCAGTATCCGATTCACATAAATTTAGAAGCCCATTCAGGACAAATAGACTTAAATTGTTTTTTCAGGTGGACCGTTTGCGAAGCGGACTGGGCATCTTCCAAAAGTTAGACAGAAGGGGCACACATTCCAGGCTCAATCCAGGCCCCCTCACATACCTAAATGATATTTCGGCCTTAGATCACGCCTGTCCCACACACTCATCATCGGCCAGGGCACTAACATGCGCCCTGGTGGAACGATGTGTCAGCGCGTCAGCATGTCAGCTCTGCGACCAGTGATGCAAGTGGGGGAGGGGGGAGGGTCACAGGGGGTGCGTGTGTCCCTTAGGTTCCGAGGGGCCCTTCGGGCTCAGCGGGACCGGCGATGAGGCCAGATTTGGGGCGCTCTGAAAATTAAAGGAGATATAAGAGCTTACGATGAGCCTACAATGAAACAATGGAGGGACCCTGTGTTATTCAGTGGCTCTAGAATGGAAGGGGGAAGAGCACTCCACCCCACTCCAGCTAAGAGGCCGTCAAAGGGAGTGTTCCATATTTGTATGGGTTTTCGAACTGAAATCACGATCTTGAAGATTATTTAGTGCAGTTTACAGTCTTGTCCTTCTCAAGATTTAAACCCCTCTAGTTTCTGAGCGACGATGATTTGTGCAGACTATTTAAAACACGCCCGCGAAGATGTGCAGACTATTTCGGGGATACTATTTCAAGGTCTTCCAAGCATCCATGACGCCATGGCAACGTCTTCAATTCCTGCCGCTCCGTTTGCCATGCAGCGATCAAGGCCAGGAAAATATAGTTGTTAAGCTCATTTACGATATAGATAAAACGGCCGTCTATAGACTCTCAGTCAATGTTGGGCAAGGTGTGATGAGGTAATCAAGCAATGACCCATTGATAACTATATTTACTTAACAGGGAAACTGTGTTCTCTAGAACAGCCTTTTCCACTTCAGAGAGACCAGTAGTTATAAGTGATATTTTTCATCATATCTGATACTTTCTTAAATATCTCCAAATGTGGAACATTCCCTTAAAGCCAAACTGGAGTTTCTGTGCCAATCCCTGGACCACTTGCTGCGATAAAGGATCTTGTCGGATCTCCTAAGGAACACCATGTCGGATCTCCTAGGCAAGATGCAGACGTTCATTCTTCAAGATCTGGACGATCACCCTAAGCATGACCCGGCATGGGACAAGGCGCTGTCAGCATTCATGACTGACTGGTGCGCCGCACAGTCCGCAGGACTACGTCGAGCAAAATTGAGCGCTGGGTCGCGGAACATGTCATGTCAAGTTGAGGTCATGGAACGGCAAGTTGGGCAGTTACACAGACAACACATCATGTAAATGTTCTCATGCAGGCTGTTTTCTCTCAGTTCAGTGTTATGATCATTGCATGTTCATCAGATGTCTTGTCGTGGAAATATCCCGGCCTCTCGGTAAATGCCTATAGCTGCAAGCTTAGGCTTAGTGGGGCTTTACTACCTGAGGCCTTTCTAGTCGTTCCAAATAAAGAGCTTGAGGTGATGGCACGCATTTAAGTCTAAACGTGCTTGGGGAAATGTGCAAGATATCTGGTGTGTGCATGTATTGAAGAATACATGCACACAGGAATGGTGCGCACAGGAACCTACAATGTTTGTCTTGGGGCACCCAGCCGCTCCCTGCATGCCTGTACCGGGTGCCGGCCCGGCTCGGGCTGCTGCTGTGCGTAGGGCTGGAAAGGAGTCCGATTTAGCGCTCCGTAGTCTTCGTCTTCGTTGTGGCTATGGAAGCAGTGGGGAAGGGTGAGGGCTTGATACGATAACGTGTGACGATGGTGTGTTGTATTTGGTGGTTTTACGATGACGATGTGTTCGCCTACGGACGGGAGGCTGCACGCTGTGCTTGGTGCAGTCTCCTTTTTGGCTGCATAAATCACTTGGACAGCTTGTGACTGTTGTTTTATTGTGTCTGTGAGAAGCCCT